TCTGTTCTGATACCCATCACCTGTTTATGCCTTGCTTAGCACATACGATAAAGTGAACAGTGGCTATAGTTTCTTATTGGTGGCTGGCTCATTAAAAATAGCTCAATGGTTGATACAACCAGAGGCAGAGCAGCTCGTGCAAGATTACAATTTACAGCAATACGATAGCAAATATCTCTAAACTAATTTCAGTACAAGGTAGGCCAGTGATTAGTGGACCGAATAAGCTCAAGAACGTACACACTTGCGTCTATATTGGTGCCAAAATTTAATGAGAAAATTAAGTCTGGGAAATCCGCAGTCTCACTCCTGGGTAATTATTTGAGTTCTAGTGACTGTATTCCAACTATTCATAATGTACATTACAGAATCTTATAAGTCATGTCATTATCTCCTAAGTAAGCATTGTTCAAGTAAGAGTTATGTGTGGAATTTCACTGTAAAATGGGAGCTTTCCACACCCACAGGTACTCGCTAACGCAGTTGAGAAAGAAATCCATGTTTAACCCTCCTCTTGAGGGTCAAAAGGTTATCTGATACTTACTCTTCGCATGTCAGCGGAAATTACATTTCATGGTCCTTTCAATTAAGCCATAAAAATGCTAGGTCACCGCTGAAACAAAAAAGTTTTTCAATCGCTCTGTCAGACCATGTCCTCAGAAAATGTCTAAAATCTGCCCTGTGCCCCATTGATCTTTGACCTGTGACCTCCAATTTCGGCACAGTGATGCCTTTTCCTACCATGATGCTATACACCGACTATCACGAGCCTAGGTCGAGCATTTAGATTTGTGCTGCAATTCTGCATTTCCTTCCTATACCTTAAGTTAAGGAGTGAATGTTCCCCCTTCTTTTACACCTCTTGACCTTTGACCGTTGACGATCCCACCCGATGTGCCGAATATCGTGACCGTACGTCGAGCGGTTAAGATTTGTGCCCAACTGTTGACGCACGGACGCACGGACGGCCGGACAGCCGGACGGACGATCATGCGATTCTACAAGCTGCATCTGACTACGTCAGATGAGCTAAAAATTCTCTCCTTCTATTACTAGTTTGTTTTTACTGCATTCATACCTGCATCACCTCCATAAATCAAGAAATCCTCAATCAAGTACAACAAAATGGACTTCTGTTTCAGTACGATAATCATGCACCACTTGAGTCCTGCTGTTGTTAGGTTAATTGGTAATCCTAGACGCGTTACAGCGTTTCTGCATATTTCGGCCAAATTATCGTCCTTGGGCCACTTTTACACAACTTTATTACAAAGCGTATTATTTAGAACGCGTGCAATGCTGACTGGCTATAGAGCTTACTGTCAGTGACCGCAAGCACAAAATAAGGGTGAAAAACACATGAAAACGAGATTAGCTAAGCTGAGAACGCAACAATTTCCAAGGGATGCATGGTTACCTCGCATAGATGTCGGTACAATTGTAACAGCAATCAACAGATGCGAGGTTGAACGGGGAGGGCCAGCGTGTGGCGATGTCGGATGCTCACCTTGCTCACGTAGTAGAGCCCTCCGATGAGTGTGTACATGGGGTCGATGATGATGCAGACGATGTGCACGATCCTAGCAGCTTCACTCGCGCCCACCATGTCCATGATCGAGACGGCGATGTACGGTAAGTAGATTGCCTGCACACAGCGATCAAGCATTTGACCATAAATACGCTACAGTATACGACACCATGATACTCATATCATCAAAATGTCCATGCGTTCATCGATTGACGAGACTTCATGGTCCGAAGGGGGATGCACTGACAATATCTGCAGATAACGCATTGGATGCACGGCGAAGGAACAAAGACGAGTGCGTGCGGCATTGGAATGACAGAAACACGGAACCCCTGCTGACGTTACTGAGCAATGACCGGCTCTCAGTCCGACTCCCAGCCGTGCACCTCCAGCGAGTCACCCTAATAATTGGCCAACCCTACAGCCCAGATGACGTTAGAGAGATCAGGGAGGGAAAATCTTGCAAAGACAACTCGATCTCGTCGTCGGCTTCTTCTCCTGCTGGGCACCTCTCCTCGTCGTCGGCTTCTTCTCCTGCTGGGCACCTCTCCTCGTCGTCGGCTTCTTCTTCCTCCGCTTCTTCTTCTGCTGGTTACTTCTCCTCGTCGTCGGCTTCTTCTTCTGCTGGGCACCTCTCCTCGTCGTCGGCTTCTTCTTCTGCTGGGCACCTCTCCTCGTCGTCGGCTTCTTCTCCTGCCAGGCACCTCTCCTCGTCGTCGGCTTCTTCTTCTGCTGGGTAC